GAACAAATTATATTGAAACTCAAAAAATTACAAAGAGGTGTTCAAATGAACAACAAACCAACCTACTCTAACATGACTGAAAGAGAGGCAACAACCGGGGAACAATGAGCTATTCCCCCTCTAAGGCCTGCTTGAATAAGTTACAACTAAGGCTGCAAACGAGTCGAGCGGCTACCAAGCGCTCCAGTCAAAGCTCGATTTGAACTCGAGTTTGACCGAACTCGAGTCGAGCTCGAGCACATATTTTACATTGTCGAGCGGCTCACCAGCGGCTTGAGATACATAGTAAATTAATAAAATACCCCTTGTATATATATGTATCATAATATTACTATATGTATTTAATGGTAATTTTACAAAATTGCTTGAAAATATTCAAACCGAACTCGAGTTGAGCTCCAGCCAAGCTCGAGCTATTGTATAATTTTATCGAGTAGAGCTCGAGCCTCAAAAATCGAGCTCGACGAGCTCGAGCAGCTAAAAAAAATTCAATCCTGCTTGATAAGGCTAATGCTTGGCTCGGCTCGGCTCGTTTGCAGCCCTAGTTACAACACACAAAAGAAGGATGACCTAAACAAAAAAAACACTAAGCAAACATGTTTTTTAACGCGAAAATATCATCCATAATAACCTTACTTGAAAGTCCAGAATAATAACCAACCGTAGAATCAGCTTTCAAGCAGGAAATTAGGCTACTAATATCATGACAACAACCAACTAGTTTTTAGCCCTCTTTCACAACCACTTCCAAATCCCATCTGATAGCTTAGAGGTTGGCCTCCACTAACTGATTAGCAGCCCAACCCCAACTCTTATTTCTTTCAAACAACGCTTTGTCTTCCAACTTTGCCACCAGACCTGCCCAACAAGTCCCTCGCTCAGAAGAAGTTAGAGCACTGACTTGAAGCAACACAAGTAGGGGTGTTCACCGTCCGGTTTTAACCGGAAAAAACCGTCAATCCGGACCGCGGATCGATTAAATGGTCAGTTAAAAAAGCCTTAAAAAATCCGGTGGTTAATTTTTTTTAAAATCCGGAATAACCGGTCCGGTTAACGGATTACCTGCGGCAAACCGCCGGTTTAACCGGACCGGACCGGTAAATATTAAAAAACTATAGCAAATATATATATACATTCAGTCATTCATTATAGCCGACAAATACAATACATTCACTATGAATGCTTTGCTCTTATTGTTTCAGGTATATAAACTGACTGAAAAATGAATGTTTGCTTGAGTTCAGTTTGCATAATTAATCTTCATCATTTTTGTATTTTTATGTTTATGGGAGGAAATGTGCATTTTTATGCTTATGAGACGAATTGTGTACTTTTTATTTCATTATTGTTGTTTTTCTTAAATTTTAAGCCCAAATAATCTCTTTAGGACCCAAAATTGAAAAACAAAAATTAAGCCCAAAATGAAAAAAATAAAAATTGAAGGCCCAAAACAAGTTTTGAATTTAACCGGTTAACCGCCAAACCGGACCGTCCAATGCGGTCCGGATTGTGGTCGGTTAAAAAATAAAACCGGTCCGGTTATGGACAAGAAAAAAAATTAACCGTTAGGTCCGGTTTGGTCATGGTTTGGGCTAAAACCGGACCAATCCGGACCGTGAACACCCCTAAACACAAGTCCTATTCTCTTGGAAAAGTCTTCTTCCATCTCCTTGTCAAAGTGAAGAGATGGAAACTGTGATTCTTCCTTCGGATATTCTAAACCAACAAACTCTAACCAATTTCTTCTGGCTCCAGTTACTATTTCTTCCTAAACTTGTCCCCTCTGAACACAGTGTTAGTTATAGCTTTCCAGATTCTCCATAAAATGCACACAAATACATTGATTCTTTCCTTCATCTTGTCAGCTTTCCTACTTTGCAAATATCTTCCCACTAGATTTTGAAATTCAAGTTATCCCTTTGGAACCCCTCCCATTCCAGGCCTAGTAACTTCTAGCATCTTTTACTCTTGTAACAATTTACAAACAGATGATTAATATCCTCAGGTTTCTCTCCACAAATATTGCAAATGATGTATCCAGAACCTCATTTACTCACCAACCGTTGTTTAGTACTCAGGAACCCATTAAGGAGTCTCCACATAAAGTTCTTGAGTTTTGGTTGAATGTGAGGTTTTCAGGTCAAGATCCACATCTTTTTTAGTTTCATATCTTCTTTGCTAGAGCTAGCTTTCACATGATCTCCTTAGACATAATCTATGAGGTTTTCATAAACAGACTTAACTGAGAAGCACCTTTCTTATCAAAGGTCCACACTAGCCTATCTTTCTTCGTAAAGAGACTCCAATGAATTTTATGAATTTTATAAGATTTAAAAGGAGAAAATGTTTGGACAATAAGATCTTTATCCTACCCTTTACCATCAGCCAACATCAACTCACTCACTTTCAGCAACCTAGACCTATCACTCTAAAAAACACAAGCAGGTTTAAATAAAGGCACTTTGGGAAGCCAAGGAGAATCCCAAATAGAAGCAGAAGTCCCATCACTTATTTGATATCTCATTCCCCTCTTAAAGGATTTTCTAACGATAAGCCAACTTCTCCAAAGCCAAAAGTCATTATTTCTTTTTTCCACATCACAAAGATTAGACCTATGAAAGTACCTACCTTTTAACACTTTGCTCAAATAAAGGTTTGGTTAAGCTAAAATTCTCCAGAATTGCTTTGAAATAAAAGCTTCATTAAGGGCCACAAGATTTCTAAAACCTAGCCCCCCCTAACTCTTTACTCCTAGCCAATTTATCCTAAGAAACCCAATGCAGCCTATCATTCCTTTTATCATTCTTACTTCACCAGCAAGAGGCTACAACTTTACAAACATCATCACACACAGAGATTGAAAGTTTAAAACAAGCCATCACATAACAGGTAGAGAATTAAGAACTGTTTTATCAAGAATTATCTCCCTGCCTCACTCAAGAAGGTTTTTCCAGCTTCACTCTTTTTTTCCTTTCTCACTACCCGCATACCTGTCATGCTTCGTAACTAGGTCGCAACCACGACCTACCCTACTACGACCTCTAGTTTACGAGGTCTTGCGCAGTTTTAGAGCTCTCTGCGCTCATTGACATTGTTATATGTTGAAAACGAGCCAAACTCTTTTAAATCAACCATAATCGAACCAACCACTCAAACATGTTCATCGAACTTTTATGAGTGTTATATTTTTAATAAAAACTAGTTGAATTTATATTCACCTCAAGTTTCTGTTTGATTTTTAAACCTCACTATGGTCAACGGTTCCTTAGTTCGTTGATACATCCGAACCGATGCCCATGTCCATAAGAAAAGAGAAATACATATGATGCCAAATTTAGTCAATTGGTGAGCTGGCGGCATGCTAACCCAGTAACCACATGAATATCCAAACCCCACGTCTATTATATTAGTATTCTCCAACTCAAATTGAATTCTTCATGTGCCTCACATCCAATGGCGTCAGATCTCTTTTCTTTCCAATAAAGAAAACAATATCAGCCGTCAGATCTGCTCAAGGGTTTTACCCAGAGACCACAGTCTCTTGTTGGACTCGCGCGCCTCTTTCTGCACTTCCTCTTTCTTTTTTATTTATTTACAAGAGCTGTATTCTTATTCTCCCGCACCTTCTGCTTTACCGTTTTTTGAAGAAGAAAAAAAGAAGACAAGAATTGAGGAGGTCAGAGGTGAGGATGAATTTTCTTTTAAATATTCTTCTTCCTTTTATTTGCCTGATGGGGGGATATGATTGTAGTTAAGCTTTTCGGCATTTTTTTTTCTTGCCCTTTTCGCTTTTGAAAGATGACAAGCAGAATATGATATGATGGAATTTTGGGTTCTGTTTGTTTTCTTGAATTATGGTTGGCACTTGGTAAGTTTGTCTGACATGTTTCAAGATTTTCCAGCTTACCCACACACTTTCTCCTGATGCTTGTATGATTGTAGTTAAGCTATTCAGCATGTGTTTTTTTTTTCCTTCACTTTTGAAAGATGTCAAACTAAATATGGTATGGTGAAATTTTGGGTTCTGTTTGTGTTCTTGAATTATGTTTTGTAAGTATGCCTGATATGTTTCAAGATTTTCCAGCCCCCACACTTGAGTTGCACCCCAACTGTTTGTTGTTAGCTCATGCATGTTTGGAGGTTGTTTCATGCAGTATCTACAAAAAGGAGGAAGATCAAATTGAATAAATATGTATGGCTAACAAATGTTACCAGGATGCATATATTGTGTTATTTACCTTTTGTACTCTTTGTTTTGTGCTGGTCACAACTCATTTTCTGGGCTAAATGGTTGTTTTTTTTTCTTTGCTGGGTGTGTGGTTGTGGATATTTCACTGATTTGAAATTCTTTTCGTTCAATTTTTTTGCTTCCCTTCTTTATTACTTTATTTTTCTATTTCTGGCATTTGTTCTCCGAACTTGTCAACAGCAAAATAATTGTACTGAGGCCTGTAATTTTCTGTTGGTTTATAAACATTTGTGCGGATTGTTTAGTAGGAAAAGACTTGGTACAAAAATGATGCGAAATTCTCACTTTGCATACTTTTGCTATCTTTTCCTAACACACATGATCTTTGTGGGAAGGAAAGACTTTGCTTTTTCTTTTTTTTCTCAAATTCAGTTATATCCCATACTTAATGGGAATTGATCTAGGCTCCCCATAATCTCTGGAGAGAATTAAAGAACTACTTTTTCTTATTTATAGATATTTTTTTAAATCCAACGACTGTAATTTTTTTCCTTTACTTGGCAGAAAAACTTTTTGACACTTGAACACAAAGGGAAAAAGCTTCTTGATTTATGTGGGAAGAATAAAATGTCCTTGATTTGTGGTCTTGTGGTTGTATCAGTAGGGCAAGAAGAGAATCTGTCTTGAGGAGGGGGAGGTTTTAGGGTCTGGGAATTGCTATCATTTCATTTGTTGGTCCTATTGTTTAAATATCTTGTTTTTAGTTGATTAGACAATTTGTTAGTTATGGAAAGGTTTACTTGAGTTTATGAAATAAATTTCTGCGCATTTGAAAAGGTGTGTTCATCACATACTTCTCTTTATCTTGTTTTTCATGTATTCTAGGTAGAACTTTTGTTTGGATTTTGAAAATGCATGTTAAGAAAGAAATATCGACGTGCATTTATTTTTTTTCTAATATGATCCTCGTCACTGTAAATATTATATAATACATGCTTGTAGCAATCGGCGCATTACCCAGTTCGTTTCTAAGAATTATAATATAATTATTTTTTCTAGTACTTATTTAGTGGCCTACTGCCATCTTGTAATCACCAATCAGCTTGGTTAACCCTGATTGTGGCCACTCATTTTCTGTAAAATTGCATGATTTGTTGCTAGTGCAGTTTGTTTCTCTCTTACAGTGGCTATCTTGACCATATACTGATTAAATCTAGTTTTGATTTGTATGTTAATTCTGTGGCAATGTGACTTCGCCATTCTAAGGCAAGAGTTAGTCTCCATAATTTTAAGATTTGATGTATAATTGTCTGAAATCAAATAAACATGTTTGTTTGCTTTGAGTTAGGTTATACGATTTTCTAGAATAGTTTCTGAGGGACTCATTGCTACTTTTTACTGCCTGCAGCCGAACTGAGTACCCCATCCATGATGTCTGATTCATCCAAACTTCAAGAAAAAGATACGGTATATTTTTATTCAACTATTAGTAGATGGATTGCTGTTGTTTTATGATTTCCTTTTTCTTATATTTTAATGTCATATATAATAAGTGCAAGATGTTATGTTTTGTAATCTAAGCCGTCCATTTTCCAGAGGAAAAAGGGAATGCCGTCTGTATCTGGAACCAAAGAAGCAAGTAGTCAAACTTCAGGTGTTTATTATCCACCCACCAGCTGTTATGATTACCACTATCCCGGTAATATATTAAATGGCTTCCATGATAAGCTTCTCTTTAGCTTACGGGCATAGTAGGATTTATGAAATGTTATAAGAACTTGTGATAAATAAGTTTATCCCAGCTGATACGATCAAAATGCTATTTACACGTTTTGCTGAATCATAATAGCAAATGAGAGCTTATTAATAATTTCTGATGTACTTGTCCTTCTAACTGCTGGACTTCTCTACCACATGTACTCTGATATCTAGATGTCCCCTTAATATATAGCTTCATATATGTACTACTATTTGGTGTTTTGCCTTTTGGCTATTATATTCGTAGCTTTTGATTCTGATACCAATGTGATTGATTTGGAGTATTAAATCAATACCGTCTGTTCCTCCAATTTACAGTTTTTTTTCATTTGTATGTGCCAACAGTTTGGTTTTTCCAACATTTTTTTATTAAGTCAATAGTGTCTTTTCTCATTTTCCTGTAGGATACAGCAGCACCTATCCTCAATCTGATGAAAAAGGTTATATAAACTCTGTAGGCAGTGCTTACACAGTATGTTCTTCCCCAAGTTCTATTATTTCTGCAATTTTTTTATTTTTATTTTTTTTACTTGTTTTACTTGTGTTCTATCACCTGGGCTCTTTTTTCCCACAGCATGACAATTTTTTTTTTTTTTTTTTCAGGGTATCCAACCGGATAATTCATTCCTATATTACCTTCCCAGCTATGGCACATATACTCCTGCGTACGGATCAGAATACCTTCAGCAGCTTTGTTCATATGGATCAGAAACCTTCCCATGCTACACATATGATTTCGCGTACACGAATGGTTTAACGGGCCCTGCTGCTAAACCTGGCCCAGCAAGGTCTGGGGTGGGCCCCAGTGGCTCCAGGAACTCAGATGGATTTACTGCTTCGAAAACTAATAATAGTCTCAAGAGCAAACTTTTGGATTTGCCTTTTAATTCAGCAACGCAACAGCCCGTCTCTCATAGGTCAAGGTCTATGTATCAGAATTATACAGTTAATCCACTAAATGAGGTATGTTGTTCTTAAAGTTTCTTTGTGGTTCTTGATATGTGTGAGCTGACATGTTGTTTGGCACGTGTTCAACTTTTACTAATAAATAAGCACTTTAAGAACTTATTCAGTTAAGACACCCTTTTGGCTAATGTTAATCCAACTTTCTTATTTCAAACTCAAGTTCTCAACTACTTGTAGCTTATGCTATGGAAAATCACTTCTTGTAACAGTAAAAGATTGCACAAATTCGCCTATTTTCATTGCATGGAATCACAATGTTCACTTTTAAGTCACCAAAAACTGAAGGAAAATGCTTGCCGTCAATGGGGTCATGACTGCGTACTGTCTGTTTTCCAAATTCCAGTAAAGTGATAGCTTCAAAAACTACCCCTTGAAGTCTCATCATCTCTCGAACGATAACATTACTTTAAGGTGTTAGAAGCAACCCTTTGTGATTTTCAACTACCAAACAATATTCGTTTTGAGGGTGGAATTTATAGAAGATAAACTAACAGAGGGTGTATTTGTAAATTTAAAGTAGACGATCCTTTTTGTGTTGTAGGCTTCACATCAGTGTTCATACCTTTTTCAATTTCCTTTTTTTTTTTTTTTTTTTGNGGTTAGTTCGAGGTGCCTTGTCTTGATGTTCTTGTGATTCTTGCAGGTAGGATCTAATCTCCAGTCTTCAGGCTTCATGAGGGGATTAAATGGTGCTGGAAAATTCTCATCACTCGCAAACCAAAGTCCCGGATTATTTACGCAGTACAACCCAATAAGTTATACATCAAATGACAAATTATGGAACGACAATAACAAGTACAGGTCAAAGGAAAATACTGGGAACTTTGTAGAAATCAACAAAGCAGTAACGGATCTTACCCGTGGCCCGAGGGGCGAAAATAAGATTAATTTCACAAATTTGCCATCTGAGGTTGAGCAACATGCTTTTGCTGTAGACAGGAGCAAGTACAACTCAAAAGAGTTTCAGACCGATTATAATAATGCAAAGTTCTATGTGATCAAGTCCTATAGTGAAGATGATATTCACAAGTGCATCAAGTACGATGTTTGGTCGAGTACGCCAAATGGCAATAAGAAATTGCACGATGCATTTTGTGAAGCGGATGCTAAAGTGAAAGAGACAGGTGTACGATGTCCGGTCTTCCTATTTTTTTCGGTAAGATTGTGCCGTATTTTTTGAAAAAAGATTCTTTTGCTTAATTCCTCTTAATATCATTATGACAAAAGTAATTGGTGACTAGTGATGAGATACATCCGATTTTTATTTTTATTTTCTTATTTTTGAGTTGCTTACTTCAGGTTAATGGGAGCGGACAGTTTGTGGGTGTAGCGGAGATGACTGGGCAGGTTAATTTCAGCAAAAATATGGACTTTTGGCAGCTTGATAAATGGAATGGTTTCTTTCCTATAAAATGGCACATAATTAAAGATGTCCCGAACGCACTATTAAGGCACATTACCCTTGAGAACAATGATAACAGGCCTGTCACTTATAGCCGGGACACTCAGGAGGTAATCTTTTATGTACTTTATTTTCATTTCTCGAATTCAGATAATAATTCTGATGGTACGAGTCATTTTAAAATCAGCCATATTAAAATTTTCGTCAAGAAATAGTTTGTTCAGACTCGATAAACTTTTGTCACAACCCTACGTGCTTTTTTTTTCTTGGCAGATTGGATTGAAACAGGGGTTAGAGATGCTGAGCATTTTCAAGAATTACTCTGAAAGAACATGTGTGCTTGATGATTTTGAGTTTTACGAAAACCGCGAGAAGGTCCTCAAAGCGAAAAGAGAGGCTCGATCGGCTTCACAAACAAATGATTTGAAAAATGGCGATCATGAGGTTTGTATACTATGTTTTCAACCTTTTGGAACTATTGCAGTTTTTTCTTCTATTTTTTTCCAAGAACCTTCGTGTTTTTAGATTATCTTTTACCAATATACTCTTTGACAAATCACACTTTATAATACACAATTTATCTTTAGATAGTGGTGTTTGTAATTCCTTCCTGGAGGTTTTTGTAAATTGAAACACTTTATACACAAGTATGTGTAATTACAAAAATGATAAATTTCCTCAAAGATAATTCTCTAATGGCCGGCCATACTTATTTTCATGGAACAGAAAGAAGGGGAAAAGTCGGGCGAGGCCAACAAGACGGGCGTTTCATCTCTGGTCTCTCTAACAGAGAACCTATCTCTTAATAATTCCGAACAAGTGAAGAGTAGTGTGTGATGAGTGCAGTCTGAAGTGCACTTCAAATTCCAGTTGAGTTGGGATGATTAGTGCAGAATTTAAGATTTGTAGGTTTTTTGTGCTTGTTTCTCGGTAAAGAACTTCGCTGGCTTTGGGTAATCCATTGTTTGTGAGTGTGGGGGTGAGTACGGGTGTTATGTTTTGTTTTGTTTTCATTTAATTTAATTTTTTTTATTTTTTTTTTTATTTATTTAATTTTTTTNTCCTTTTTGAAACAGTTGTTGAAAATCAGTTGTTGAAATCTATAGATGGCATATTGTGGAAGTTTGATTGGTGAAGTAGAAAAATGGAAGCGAAGTAGAAAAAGTCGATATAGTTTAATCTAGGAAGTTGATATTTATCTATCCACACAATTTTTGTAAGGTCCTTTTGCTTGATGTGATAGGATCAGATAAATTTAACAGTCAATTGGCTTTTAGCCAAGTAAAAATGAAAAGATAAATAATGAGAAGACTAACTTGTAGCCATTTTACTATATGAAAATATCAAACTACCTTTATTTTATATTATTATTATTAATGGTTGAAAGTGAACTCTTCTGTCTTATTCTCTAGTCTCTCACTCTTTCTATGCTCTCCTCTCACTAAAAGTGAAATTTTCTTTTCTCTTCTCTTTAATTTCTTAACAAATCAAGAAGATTCTGGCAAATTTTAACGAAAATTCTAGTGACATTCCGGGCGCAAAAATTGCACTAAACTTCTCTGTGTCTTGCTAAATGTGCGCGTTATCTATTTGTGTTTAAAAAAATGCATGCTACCTGTTTTTTTTCCGGGGTGCAAACACCGTTAATTATTTTTTAGACTAACAATTGTTGTGTCTCTCTCATTTGAACCGTCTCACGGCCACTCTGGTATAGAAACAAAAACCTCAATTACGAAGAACACTCGACCACATCCGGAATGTATTACCCAAATTTCAAACAATATGTACTAAATCAAAATAAAATTTTAAATCTTAGGTCGACGACGATTTCCTTTCAATCTTTGGTCGATGACGACTTCCGAATAGCTTTCAATATGTCGAAGAAGAATTGATACATTATTTAAGATCAACGACAAATTAGGTTTCTCGTTTATCGATCTCATCTAAGGTATTTTCACAATTACTTTCTTCATGGTTTTTACAATACTGTTTATTTATGGTTGAACCTTCAAAGCCTGTTTGTTGAATGTATATATAAAATTAGGGTTTGTAGTCTTCTGCTGATTTTGTAATCTTTGTCTCTCATACAAATTAGGGTTTCTTTCATAGAAATTAGGGCTGTTTATGCATACAAATTAGGGTTTTTTGTCATAGAAATTAGGGCTATTTATGTTAATTGTCCTTATGTGAAATACAAATGAACCAGCAATATATAATTTTGTTTTTATTAATTTTATATAGGTTGTGATCCCCTTCTTTTGAAATCATGTGTGTATATTTTTTTATTTATTTTATTTGTATATCTTGTGTTCCCTAATGTTGTAAGGGCATCAATTGAATTGAACCAACAATTCAATTGTAAGGTTGTAAGATTGTTAAATATATGATAACATTTTACCAAAATAACTATTTTATGGAATCACATTATGATTAAATCGAATTTCTGAATACAAATTTTGAAATAATACTTATTTTGAAACGAATATAATGTAATTTATTATCAGTTATGTGTACCACACGCGTCGTGTACTAATTTTAAATAGACACTTTTTTATAATTTTATACAATTTAAACTTTATATAACATTTTCAATAAATTAGTATAGGTAATTGTATTACATATTGATTCCATATTTTTAATTTATAAATATTACTTAATAAAAATTATTAATTTATAAATATTAATGAATATTTTTTAGTCGTGCATTTCATGGTACTCATACTAGTTTGGATCCCTAACTATAAACAAGAATCTTCTATATTTTACTAATTTATTAATGTATTTTTTCCCCCTAATGACTACGTGCAATGCACAGTTGCACACAGCACATTTCCCTTCGTTCATTTGACAAAGGAAAAAAGCAGTAGTCCGCCATTATTTACGCTTCCAAGGCAAATTTCGCTTAGATTTCCAGCTGAAAGAGGCGATGGCGAGGAGACCGGACGAGTACGATTACTTGTTCAAGGTCGTCCTAATCGGTGATTCAGGCGTTGGCAAATCCAATCTGCTCTCGAGATTCACCCGCAACGAGTTCTGCTTGGAATCCAAATCCACGATCGGCGTCGAATTCGCCACCCGCACTCTTCAGGTCCGGCATTTCATCTCCAGTTTACCCTCTTCTCTAGAATTTCGGTTTCTGTATTTTTTTATTTTTGGTTGGGTGTGGGGGTTGTGGCGATAGTTTGCAGTTGAAGATTTCGTTATCTAATTCAGATTGATGGCGCATGAAGGGATTGCGATGTGTGAAAATGTTACAGATTGAGAGTGCATGATTGTAGTCTGCATTGATTTTGTGATTTTCCGTCGAATTTGTTAGACTTACAGGATTTTCAATGTGAGAAATGTTGATTTTGGTGGGTTCTTGTTGATTTTTTTTATTATTTAATTTTGCATGTGTGGCAATTGATGCCCTGCCATTTGCTTGAAATTTTATGTAGGGTGAATTTCCTTATATTCATTTGCTCTGGTGGATTTATTGTGATGTTTTTAGGACTTTTAGATCTGTTTTTAGATTGGGTGGTTCTACTTTGTGCTGGCGATTTTCTTGATTTGTTTGTGCTGTGCTATTTGGATCACTGGTATGTATTCGGATGAGTATGTGCATCCCTGGTTTTTCATTTGCCTTCAGTAATTCTTGCTTAAACGATATATCCTTTACATTATCTGATTGCTTGAGCTACTTGAACATTCTAGCAGTCGCAATTGCTTGATCTAATTTTTTACCTAGTTTTCTTAAGGCTATGAGGGTGATATAACTATTCACATATGAATTTTTCGATAAATTACTTTATGCCAACTACAAGTTCGTGGGAGATACAATAACTAAGAGGAGAAAAGAACCCCGTGGCCCATTATCCTTTTGCAGGGAGTTAGTGTGTGAGGGACTACAAAATGTTTCATGGGAGCTACAATAACTAAGAGGAAAAAAGAACCTCAACCCATTTACCCTTCTGTAGGGAGTTATTGTGTAAGGGACTACAGAATGTTAAATAATAATAATAATAACTATTATTATTATTATTATTCTTTTCAATCTCTCCATCAAGAATGCACATCACGAAATGTGCAATGATAGGTGTATAGTTTTGACTATCTCTAATGTAAGTATCTCCTAATTGGTGCTGATTTTTTTTTTTTAATAGCACTGGAAAAAGACCTTTTACTTTCTTTCACTGCATAATATATTCTGCTTGAACGCTATTGAATAGTATTCATAGCATATTGTTCTTGGTATGCCAATTTTTTTTACTGAATTTGAGTTGCCCAAAACTATATCATTGTTTTTCTTTGATCTCTTCCTTTTCCCATTGATCACAGATAGCCTTAAGTTAATGATCTATTCATAACTGGTTTCAGTCATTTTCTGATTCATTTCCCGAGAGAAAAATCATGAACAGTTTCTTATTTCATGTCTCTTTAATTTACATGTTTAATGTTTATTATAACATGTACAGGTCGAAGGTCGAACTGTAAAGGCCCAAATATGGGACACCGCTGGCCAAGAGAGGTACAGGGCCATTACAAGCGCATACTACCGTGGTGCCTTGGGTGCCCTTCTTGTGTACGACGTGACAAAGAAGACCACTTTCGAGAACGTGAACCGTTGGCTGAGAGAACTTAGGGACCACGCGGACTCCAACATTGTTATCATGCTCATAGGAAACAAAACTGATCTCAAGCACCTCAGGGCTGTTGATACAGAGGACGCTCAGGGTTTTGCCGAGAAAGAAGGGCTCTCGTTCCTCGAGACATCTGCTCTAGAGGCGACTAATGTGGAACAAGCTTTTCAGACTCTCCTTTCTGAGATTTATCGTGTTATAAGTAAGAAAGCGCTTGCCTCAAACGAGCCTGCTCACTCTAACATTAAAGAAGGAAAGACTCTTGTGGTTGGCTCTCAGGAGACAGAGGATGCTAAAAAGACATGTTGTTCGACATAGGCTTCTCGTTTTTTTTTGGCCTCATGTTTCATTTTTTTTTTTTAGTTTCTATTTCACAAAAAAATCTAGCTACCTGATTAATACTTGAGGTTTTTGGGGTAAGTTGTGGGTGGAATGTATTGGTTTACTATGGCTGGTGTTGTTTTTTGCATTTCGAGAATGGATAGAAATTATATTTTTATGGCAATGGGAAGTTGAAGTCCAGTTTAGTCACATATATGCACTGAGGAATAGCTTTTCTCAAGCAAATTTTATGTAGTCACGGGGTGACCAATGGTGCGGTTCGGTGAAAACTGTACTTACCAACATAAATTGAATCTACCAAAAAAGAATAATCGAACCAAACCACAATATGAGAAAAAAAAAAAGGACGAACCGCAATTTTTTAACACCAAAATAATTGAACTGAAACAGGGTTGCGGCGGCGGGTAAAGGGATGACAACAACGATGGGAGTTGGCGGCGGCGGCGGCAGAAGTGTGAGATTTGTGAGATATATTGTTGTCTGGGTGGTGAAAATGTCTAGTATAATGTCTAGTATACCCTTTTGTGTTGTATAATATGTCTTCTTTTTACCATTAGATTTATTAGATCTATGTGAGATTTGTGAGATATATTGTTGTCTGGGTGGTGAAAATGTCTAGTATACTGTCTAGTATACCCTTTTGTGTTGTATAATATGTCTTCTTTTTACCATTAGATTTATTAGATCTATGGTTATTATTCATTCTTATTTCTTTCGCTGACAAACTCTCACTAGAATCTCTCTCTATGTATGTATGTATATATATATATATATATCCACATTCCTTTCACCGCGCAACGAAGAACAAGAAATTGCAGAGAAAATCTCGACATTCCTTCTCAATCTCCAATTCGATTTTGTCGTCTGATTAGAGTTCCTATTTGATTTGAATCAATCCGATAAACAAAGCATCTGCAATTTGAAGCATCCGCACAAAAAAACTTTGATCGAGTTCGTCGGCAGATCTCAAACAAATAATCTCCAAAATAAACATCAAACCATCTCCAATAGTGAGCGAAGCAATTCCAATGATGAAAGATATTGTGATTTTTTTTTAAAAAAAATTGATGCATTCAAATTGAAATAATTCAGTGTTGATGCATTAAGCGTTGATGAAAAGGTGTTCTTTTTAAGCAAAATCGAACAATTAAAATTGAAATAATTGTTCATGTTGCCAACTTAAGACGAATAAGCACCGCACTTGACCACCAAATTTACTCTTAAGCATTTGACTGCTTAGAGTAATTTTTGGGGAGGGACTAGATGATACAGCCATATAAAGATATACCGGCCCAAAGGCTCCCTACTCGACCGAACAGTGGCTCAAACCATTCGGCATGTCGACATGCACTCGTCGACATGTTCAAGTCGACTTGTTCCAGGTCGACTCATAACAAGATTGATGATAAGAAACGGCAAATCCCATACAAGTCGACTTACAGAAGTCGACATTGTTCAGTCGACCTCCCTGAAGTCGACATCTACCTGAGAAGATCAACAAGAGCGTAGCCTCCAAATAACCAGAAGATCCGGGGTCGACTCGTTCATACTCGATGTCGACTCCCTGTACCTCAAGTCGAAAGGCATTCTGACGATTCCATACACTTGGTATGTTTCTTGGAACCTCTTGTCCTTCAATGGATAAGAAGGAATCTTGAGATGACTCAGCAAGGAGGGGAGACGAATCGACCGGGACAATTTAGACCTTTTAGGTCCACCGACTTGGGCATTTCGGGAACTTCAAGTAAGTATTCACTCCTATATAAAGGAGATGAGGTAATCCTAAACCCTAACACTCATTCATTCCACACATTCCTCATAGCTGCTGCGCAGCATCCCTTCATCTCTCTCATACTGACTTGAGCGTCAGAGGCTCTACGTCGGAAACACCTCCGGCGTTGAGTTTTTGCAGGTATTCTCGCGGTCTAGCAACAATTCAGAGGCGGTTCAAGCAGATCTGAGCTCAAATCCATCGGTTCTCTTCAGATCTAGAAGTAGACCCATCACGATAGTTTATGCATCGATTTGGAACAAAGTATGCATGCATATATATCTAATCATGCATCATTATAAAACTAAGTATGTGTTTTGAAGATATGAAATAAGTATCCACTAATTATTTTGAGATAGACTAAAGTATGAATAATCAATTACATATCAAAGTTTGCAAGATTATGAAACTAATATGCAACACTGTAAAACTAATTATGCATGACAATATAACTAAATTAGCACTTGTTATGAAAATAATACATTTATAACTAATGTATTTTATTTTTTATTCAGGTACAAAATGGTGTTTGTACCATTTACTGAAATACATAATCACAAAATGGTGTTTGTACCATACTACCATTTACCTACTTTTTAACACTTTGTACAAAACTATCAATATAATTAAATAATATGTTACATTTTTATAACTATCACATGGAGTAGGGTTCATTTGATTTTTATACCATTTTGTGATTATCTATTTCAGTAAATGGTACAAACACCATTTAACTATCACATGGAGTGAGTCCACTTGATTTTTAACTTTCGGTATGACCACTGTGAGTGTTAACCCCTATAACATTTTTTTATTTATAAATAAGACTGAAGAATAGTAAACCAGTTTCACTTGAGCGCGTGGTGCGCGTCTGTCCAAATAATAGTAATAATAGTTTTTTTTATTTATTTTTTTAAAATAAAAAGGTGTGAATTTACTCTTTACTGAAAAGGGGAAAAACCGCCACTATTTACGCTCGCAGCGCAAATTCTTGGTTCAAAATAGACATTTTTGAGGTGAAAAAAGCATGGGAAGAAGAGCGGACGAGGAGTACGATTACCTTTTCAAGGTCGTTTTAATCGGTGACTCAGGCGTTGGCAAATCCAATTTGCTCTCCAGATTTACTCGAAACGAGTTCTGCTTGGAATCCAAATCCACCATCGGCGTCGAATTCGCCACTCGTACTCTTCAGGTCCCAGATCTCACTTTCTCCATTTTTCCTACTTTTTAGCATTTCCGGATTCTTTAATTAGGGTTTATAGAAATTGTGTTTCTTACGGATTAATGTGGAGAAAATGGAATTGGAGATGGTGGCTTTTGTGGTTTACTTGTGGCCTCGTCGAATTATTTGTTTGTGGGTTGATACTTAATCTCCGCCGTTCAGCTGCAATTTAATGAGCTAGGGGTGATCTTTACATTTTTTATGAGTTATGGAGGATTTTTCTGGAGAGCTTCTGGTCACCAAGATCTGTTGTTTGATGAAGTGTGTTGTTTGATGGAGTGTTGATATCTTTTGAAGTGGTGATTTCTTGATTTGTGCAATTTTTACCACCTCAGAACTCTTGTTCTGTAAAACGAATTGAATGTGATATAGATGCCTCTGGTTTTCCATTTGCTAAAGAATGCTTGCTTAACTGATTTTTTTTCCAGGATCGATTGTTCAGTACATGTTACATTTTTATTTTTATTTTTCTCTGAGGTGGTTTATTTCACAAGGATTAGTTTCAAGTGATGAGATTAAGCCGTTTCACCCCTATAGAAACAAGAATCTTATGGGAAATAAAAACTATAACAATGAAGACAACAAAATGCTGAAACCCATTATAGTCTTATATAGTTATATTACATTGATTAAGAGGAGAAGAAACGGAAAAAATGCTTGGCTAGATTCTCATGCCGATTTGTATTTTTCTCAAGATAGCTTTTTCTTGGGATCACTAATAGTAAAGCTTTCAAGTTGGTTTATGAGGATGAATTGACAGTGTGTTAAGTGTATGTACATTGTTCTTACTATCTTAAATATCAATTTAGTGGTTGTTCCTAGTGTTTATGAGACTAAACAAGTAATCACTTATAACTATCAGCTAATTGCTGGTGATCCATACTAGTACATCTAGCATTTCAAACCCAAATTTCATTTTCCTTTGGGTGCAACACACTTTTGATTGAATAAAGGTTCACAATAATACTAATGCGTGCATGCTTTTTTATATTATTTTTTCATTTTTTATCGGTGATTTCTTTTGATGATTATATATGAAGGGTTTAAAATCACATGACAACAAGTTTACTAATTTTGTGTCCTTGCAGGTCGAGGGTCGAACTATTAAAGCTCAAATATGGGATACTGCAGGTCAAGAGAGATATAGGGCCATAACCAGCGCATATTACCGTGGTGCCCTTGGCGCCCTTCTCGTTTACGATGTGACAAAGCCGACCACCTTCGAGAACGTGAACCGCTGGCTGAAAGAACTTAGGGATCATGCGGACTCCAACATTGTTATCATGCTCATAGGAAACAAAACCGATCTCAAACACCTCAGGGCTGTAGCCACAGAGGATGCTCAGGGTTTTGCTGAGAGGGAAGAACTCTCATTCATCGAGACATCTGCTCTGGAGGCAATTAATGTGGAAAAGGCTTTTCAAGTTGTTCTTTCAGAGATTTATAGGATTATTAGTAAGAAATCACTTGCCTCGACTGAGCCTGCTGAGACTAATATTAAAGAGGGAAAGACACTTGTTGTAGGCACTCAAGATAACAATGGAAAGAAGGCGTGCTGCTCAACATGAATGGCGAGAAGATCAATTGACCAAAGTATCTGTTTTTTTTTTTTTTTTTCCTTTTTTTTTTCTTTTTCCTTTTTATTCTCTAAATTCTTTGCATCATTTGAGTGCTGGAATGTTCTAGTAGAGTACTTAGCTCATACTATAGCTCTTGGAGATATTGTTGGTGGAGTAGTGCTGGTGTGTGGTGTTATATTGGCATGTTGTAAGAATGGATGATAATTATTTGTAGGGATAAAAACTTTTTGGCTCCTAAAAGCAATTCTAATTCTCGTCATATGAAGGTAGGCGATTCGAAGTCTAGAATCCTTGTCAATTGCGCACAATAATGAAAATAAACACACCGGGGATGCGTAGTAAGGACAGTGGGAAAATGTGAAATTACATGTCTTAATCTTAAAATTTAAGAAATTTGACAGTCAAATAAAATAATGAGGGTTCTCATATAACTATCATAAAGTCAAATATTTGATTTTAATTTAATAATTATGAAGGACAGTGGACAAATGTGAAATTACATGTCTTAATCTTAAAATTTAAGAAATTTGCCAGTCAAATAAAATAATGAGGGTTCTCATATAACTATCATAAAGTCAAATACTAGTATTTTATTTTAATTTAATGATTATTACTCACCGGTTTATC